AGTTTCTTCAGTACACTTCAATTGAGCTTGATATCTTTTTTTTTTGCATTTGATGAGTTAGGAATGTCATTTTAAGATTTGGTGGGAAGTGTGATTTCCTACAGAAATTGTACTGTGCTTTGGAGATTGATTTAGTTGGGGAAGGATTTCAGGAAAAATCAACTATTGCACTTTTTAAGTTCCTTGAGTACCATATAATAAGAATTCCCTTCACACAATTGGTTAAGGTTCACCTCTTGCTTATTTTGCTTCAACAACTATTGACATGGAAGATCTAGTTCTTTCGTCAGGGAACTCCCCATTCGATGCCAGTTATTGGCACTATAACCTGTAACCTGATTAACTACTTCTGTGGGCATGCTAAACAAAAATTTATCAGCATATCAAATCTCGGGAGATTCTCCTTCATTATTTTCCATACTCTTTGAATAATAGCACCCCTTGAACAAAAGCCCTGCCATTACCTTTCATCCAAATCCAATAAACGGTAGCTACAAGCGCAACATTCATGATTGTGTTTCGGAATTACCACCATGTGAGTTGTGGCTTCCATGCACCTTTCTTGTGTTTTCTCTCTTTTCCTTCATTTTCTCAGAAATACAATTTGCAGCAAGAAAAGAATTGATTACAACAACTTTTAATTTATGTTCAACCTTTTGTACAACAATTATCCTTGAATAAGTTTAATGTAGAATGAAATAGCATTCCAAGGCAGAGGGAAGAAAATCATGATAATGGCAATTGTCAATTCACCAGTAATCCCTACAAGAACAAGTTCTCTCTTTAAAATGGTGGAATTGATTTACGATCACTTACTGAAATTTGACGTTAATAGATGATGGATATTAGTTTTGTATGCGAATGACAGTCATTGCACGATCACATCAGATCTAAAATCAATTAACGATTCAATTTGAATATAAAATTATAAAAAATTAAAAATTTATTAGATATAAAATAAATCAATTTAACATGTTATTAATATAGACAAAAAGGGAATAAGCTTTTCATATGACAAATTAAGAAAAGATAATAGAAGAAAAATTTTGATATTATGTTAAATATCTAACTTAAAATCATAAATTAGATAAAGACAATAGCTTCCATTATGTGTAAACAAATATAAAAGAAGTCTTTTCACGTGACAAATTAAAAAAAAAAATAATGAAAAAAAATTTTAACTCTATACTATGTTAAGTATCCAACTTAAAATCATAAATTAAAAAAAGACAATGGCCTCACGTGTAAACAAATATAAAAAAAATCTTTCACGTGACAAATTTAAAAAAAAATAATGAAAAAAAATCTTAACTCTGATATTATGTTAAGTATCAAACTTATAATCATAAATTAAAAAAAGACAATGACCTCCATCACGTGTAGATAAATATGAAAGAAGTTTTTTACATGACAAATTAGGAAAAACAACAAAAAAAAATCCTAAACACTTGACAAATTAGATTAAGGCAACAGAAAATCTTGACTTGATATTATGTTAAATATTCAACTTAAAATCACATGTGATAAATTAGGTTAAGGCAATGAAAGCAAATTTTAATTCTGATATCATGTTAAGCATTCAACTTAAAATCTCACCATTTAAGCATTTAACTTAAATCACAAATTAAGCAAAAAAAACAAATATTAACTTTGATATCATGTTAAGCATCCAATTTAAAATCTTACCATTAAAATATTCAACTTAAAATCACATATTTTATCATGTTAAGCATCAACTTAAAATCACAAATTAGGAAATGTCAATAAAGAAAATTTTGATTCTAATAACATGTGAAGCATCTAACTTAAAATTAATCAGTAGTAAGTAAAATGGCATAACCTGAATATAAGACTATAAGATATTAAAAATTTATTACATATGAGATAATTTACTTTAACATGTCTCATCACATGTAAGAGAATATGAAAAAAAAATTTCTCATGATAAATTAGAAAAAGGCAATGAAATGAAAGTTTTAGCTTAGATATTATATTAAACATCTAACTTAAAATCAATTAATTATAAAAATACTTAATTTGAATTTTAAATTATAAAATATTAAAAATTTATTAAATATGAGATAAATTACTTTTGACACGGAGATTTCTAACTATTCTTAATTTTAATTATAGGAGACCTTGAGATGCATGTATGAGCGCAAATGCGATTGCAAACTTCCGGCTATGACCTTTCAATCTCTGTCTCTTTTCTTCTTCATCTACATCAAGCAATACCTGTGATGTATCTGGGGCATAACCTTCAAATTTCAACTGCCATTCCATCTGGTGAAAATTCTCGTTGACACTTTCGCATTTAGGATGAAAGGTTTCTTGTGGAACAAACTTGTGGATTCTTCTCCTCACCTCAATCAAGCTAAATCTTGGCACCTGGTGTAAACCCTTTCTAGATATTTCCACCCCGATTTTAGCCACCTCCTGCCACCTCTACGCTCGTGCATTCATATTTGACTGTATAACAGTCACCGGGATTTTGTGAGTTAAACTGGGATTGATTCTTATCTGCAACCTCTCCTATTTCCAAGTTACAATGAACTCTACAAGCACTAAGAAGGCTTCGCCAGACCATATCATTGGGCTTGATAGGTATGCTCTGGATAAAAGAGCAACCCAGCTTTTCCCATGAGGTCTACCGTGCAACCATAATGCTGAACTGTTGGTTGTATCCCAATCTCAGATTTCATTCTATCAAAGCATTGGAAGCCCAGTAAAGGGAACTGAAGATTGTACTATATTTCAACAAAAGCTCCAGTTAAAGATCTCAATAATATTTCTCCTGAATAAATGACTAGAAATTTCAGTATGGGAAAATCTAGAATTTCGGTTTAGTATTCAAGCATTAAAATTAGAAGGAAAAATTATCTTCAAAATAAAAATAAAAAAAATTTTTAGAAGGAACTTTTGTCACGCCCTGGGCGGGCTCAAGACCGGAGCCCGTGACACTTTAGCCTTGCTTAATCTTGGACCAGGAAAACCCAAAAATCTGGGATATAATTGGGTTTGGTGTTCAAAGCCCGTACATAGATGGCTATATTAGTATTGGGCAATGGTAACCCAGCTTGATGTACCAGAAACCCATCAAGCCCTTTCCAAACCCAGCTTTCTTTTATCATTTTCTTACTGGCTTAAACTTCAAAACGATGATCGAATTATAAATGATTCACGTCAAACATGACGGGTCCTACGAAAGCATGTTGTTAAAGAGAAGGCATTGGTTGGTTTGGAACTTTGGATGCTGCTGAGTCTTGACTCTTGACCATATAGCAGCAGACTGGAGAGAATGGTGGTACCAAGAGATAAGCTGAGCCACATCCCTCCTTTTTTGGGACCTTTTTTACATTCTGATTTCTGAATTCTTCTGCTTCCATTAATGTTCTTCCGCTCATAGTAGGTAGCAGAAAATGATTAATTTATTACCACCCTGCATTGCAAGGACTTAAAACTCTGTCCTTTCCTTTTTTTTTTTTAGTATATCAGTGAGATTTAAACTTAAAATTTTTAAATTGGAAGTAATTTTTTTAAGTACTAAATTATAAAAATAATATAGTATAAGGGATAAATGTATACTTAACCTTAAAAAAGAGACAAATCTTCTAAAAAAATTCCTAGCTATAAAGCAAAAATCGCATGGGCCATCCCGAAATATTTCAAATTCTTCTATAAGTTTTGTCCAACGTGATTTAAGCATGCAGAATTGGCCACCACAGGCTCCACAATGGACCATATAAATATATATGATTTCATGCTGAAGTTATTGTATAAGAAATAGGGAACAAAGTGTTTCAAGCATCTACATTTTAGGATGAAGAATGAGATTGTTTGACTTAGGTAATGGTTTTAGGTTAATTGTTAAAGCCTTTGGTGCTTTTCGTCTAATACTTTAAATCAAGAAAACGATGCAAAAACATTAAAACAAAAAAAAAAAGGAACAATGTCCTTGATGATATGGAATGGGCGAAATTCGTGACCAAAACCAAGGTCAAGAAATGACATGTTGTCAGGAGATATAAAAGAAAAAGATGATGACAATAAGGTCCCAAAGACCAAACCAATGATAAATACAACTGAACCATAAAAAACTTCGATTATCGGGACTTCATTCAATGTCTTTTTTGTTGGGACTCTCAGACCACTTAATTATTATTATTATTATTTTCACTCATATGGTCCCCGTTTGACATTAATTAATGTCTCTCGCTGCGTTATTTTCCCTTGGACATTAACGTTTAATTTCTTTTTTAACAAAAGGGAAATCATGTATACGTGTGTGTATATATATATATCAATAAATTATTGATTTAATTGATTAAAATTATTTTTTTTAACTAAAAAATTTTAAATTTGAATCTTATTAATAGTTATTTATTAAAATCATTTCGAATACACGATTTTTAATTACATGTTTTAAGTTATCAGATACGATACATTTTATCTTGATTTAAAAAATTGAATAATTTATCTCTAAATTTTTTTTTAAAAAAAAAATATTTTGTTTAATATTTATAAGTTATTAAGTTTAATTCAAATAAAATTTAAATTAAATTAAATTATTATTGAATTAAATTTAAATTTAAATAATTTAATTTATCATTGAATTAAATTTAAATTTTTTTATACTTAATTAACGTCACTTGCAAATCTATTTAAAATTTAAAATTTTAATATACTTTAATTAACAAAATATCTTAAATTAAATATAAATATAAATAATTAAATTTTTAACAAATATAAAAATTAAATTTATTTTTATATATTAATTAAATTTAATTAAATAAATTTAAATAATTTAATTTTTAACTTAAATTAAAAAAATTTCAACCAAATTTAAATCGAATTTTAAATTTAAATTTAATATATATAAACTTAATCGATTATACTTTTACTTTTTACTGCATCGTAATTAAGATTCAGCATCATTTAAACAGTACTTCTATGAAAAAACCAAAAATTATTCAATAAAAGAAAAAAGAAAGTGGGGCCGACATTTCTCACTGTCTGTCTGTCTGTATTTTTTACCACATCGATATCATCAGAATCTTTCTTTCTCTCTCTACAAGTGGTGATGTGTAATGTAAGCTCTTTTCTTGCAGAGAGGCACTTAAAATTTAATTTTTTCGTATGGGATTTATTTCTTCTTTTGAGTTCTTCGAAGCACAGAAACGAAATAATTCGAAGAAGCTTGGAAAGCAAGGAGCTTTTCTAGTTTTCTTCATCTTCTTCTTCTTCTTCTTTAAGTTTCTTTGTTATAGATTTTTGAAGCCAGCCTTCTTCTTCTCTGAGATTTACTTTTATTTTTGTCCTCTTCTTTCAGTTATCTTTTCTCTCTTGACTTTCCTGTTTTCTTTTCGACCTTTGCTTTATCGAAAGCGGCAAGATTAGCTTAAAAAAGGGAATTTTATCATATTCTCTTTGTTTTTATCCCTTTTTCTGTGCTGCATAATCTTTGTTTGGATCTGTCTATTTTTTTCAGCTCCTAGGTTTTTCTTTTGGGGTTTGCATGACCCTGATTTTTTCAATGTTTGGACGGGTATGAGTGCCTTTCTCTGTATCTTGAAGCTTCAGTAGCTAACATGTGACTGGTTAAAGTTTTTGACTGTAGACAGATTCAATTTTGTTCCTTTCATTTTGCTATTTTAGCAGAAAAGTCTTGCTAGGCCCCCAATTACTGAATTAGTTCATATTCAGATTGAAATGTCTATTATTTGACTATAAATGAATTCAGTCTTACTTTTTTTTTTTTTAAGTTGAAATAATCTTATACATTTAACATGAATCTCTTTTACTATTAGACAATTATTTATAATAATATCGTATGGGTTTAGGATATTATGGGTAAAGTCTTCTCTTGGACTTTTTAAAAAAATGAATTTTTCTTTATTTTCTACTTTATTTTCTATTGTATGACTGCTAACTGATTCAGTTATATTCTTACCGAAAGAGTAAGTGTTTCAGCTGTAAGTGGGCCGATTGTTTTTTCAAAACAATGCCAATATGCCATGCTTGGCTTTTGAACAATTCAATTTACTTTTATTTAATTTAATTTGAGTCAAATGATTGTTTTTTTTTTTTCAATGTTTCCTTTCAAACTTGAAGGTTTTTATGGGATTACAATTTGTATGCTGGCTGCTTGGTGACTATTTCTCGTTTCATTGTAAAGCACGCATCACAAAGGACCCGAAGACTTCACAGTCCTGGTGATTGCTTTCCAGGTAACTTGAGGTGATCTGGGGTTGCTAGTTATTTCCCCCGTTATTCTGACAAAAGCTGTGAGGATATCCAAGCTCATATATGGATGTTAAAGACTTAAAGAGCATAGTTTGATGATATGGGTGATGCTTGAGAAGTAGTAGTTTGAAACTCTAGCCCGGCATATAGCCCTTTGGTATAATATTAAAGAAATGGAGCAAAAGGAGGGTGAGAGTTGGAAAGAATTGGTCTGTAAGATGCTTCCACCAGGTGCCTCTCTCCCTGAAGATTCATCAGAGCTTGATTACTCTATAGCTATGGAGTATAAGGGTCCTCTGGTCGCTTATGAAGTACCTAGAGTTGAGCCTCTTGATGCCATTCCAACTGCAGAACCATTATTGGAATCCCAAAGGTCAGTTGCTAATACTGGCCCTCCAGTGATTGAAATGATCCCCTTGCCTGTATCTTATATTGCTGCTGTCACAAGTCCGCCTACTCAGAGTCCAAGGGCTTCGGCAAGCTCTGAGTCAGTAGTGTCTGTGTTGCAAAACCCTGATTTTTCTTCAGCATCTCCTTCTGCATCTCCTGGTTCAGCTTGCAATCCTCCAAGTAATCCTCCTAAACAAATTGTTAATGAAGTCAAGAGAGTGCCGGTTGTTACATTTAGTACTGTTGAAAGATCAGAGAGGAAAGATGTGGATATGGATAAGCCTGTTTTTCCTGAATATGATGGGGTTTCAAATGAAAAGAAGAAGAAGAAAAGAAGAGTTTGTTATCATTGTGGTAAGAGAAAATGGGAAACGAAGGAATCTTGCCTGGTTTGTGATGCTAAGTATTGCAGCAATTGTGTGCTTAGGGCAATGGGCTCAATGCCTGAAGGACGGAAATGTGTGACATGCATTAGCCAGCCAATTGATGAATCAAAGCGGTTAAGACTAGGTAAGCATTCTAGACTCTTGTCCCGACTACTCTGTCCTTTGGAAGTAAAGCAGATTATGAAAGCAGAGAAAGAATGTTTTGCAAATCAGCTCCGATCAGAGCAGCTAATTGTAAACGGATATCCACTGAAGCCTGACGAGATGGCAGAATTACTTGGATGCCCTTTACCTCCAAGGAAATTGAAGCCTGGTAGATATTGGTATGACAAGGAATCTGGTCTCTGGGGAAAGGTAAGGTCGTATTTATGATGTGCTATTTTATGTTTCACTTGTCTTTTCTAATTGAACAAGTAACAAGAGGAAACATCTAGAATGCGGGGACTTGATTTGATCACCTCTTCTTATTGAATTGGCAGGATGGAGAAAAACCAGATCAGATTATTAGTTCAAACTTAAATTTTACAGGGAAGCTGAATCCTGATGCAAGCAATGGCAATACTGAAGTCTATATCAATGGTCGGGAAATTACGAAACTTGAATTGAGGGTGCTTAAGGTAACATATATAAAAGTTAATACAGGATCTATTATTTGTTGTTCTTGATCATAGTATTTCTTTTCTATTTGATTTCACGCATTTAGGATTCTCAATTTCATGCTCCACAATTTCTTTTCTGTTTTTACTGTATGCATTGTTAGATTGTCTTTGCTTCATGAGCAGCAGCAGTTCACTTTTAGGTCTGCTTACTTTGTTTTAAGCATGCTTCGGCAAAGTACTTACACTCATTTATAGCATGCTTCGGCAAAGTACTTACACTCATTTATAGCTTGGTGGTTACTGCCTTCTCTTGGCAGCCATAATATGGAATAAATTGTAGTTTGAGATATATGACTTATAAATAATTGGTGCCTCTCGTTTCTTTTATTAAAGTTTGATCCATGGTCTAAGCACGTGCATTTTTGGTGCACTTGCAATACATCTCATGTAGAAGAGTGATCATCCATTATGTTCATCTTGTAATTTCCTGGTGCATGTAACATGATTATGTACTGAACACTTTTGGATGTTGCACTGTACTGTTGATTTCTAGCCCATATGATATGACCAACCGTATTATGTTAGGCTATATAAACATGTACTTAGAATGTAACATGTCAAGGTTTTGAGAAAAAGTTGTTTGAGCTTTAGTATGATATTCTCTATGTTCCATAATATTTTCCATTTTAATTGTCCTAACTGAGAGATCACTGTTCAAAATGTCAAAAAATTAGCAATATATAACTTTCCTTGTTGATACTGTATCATAACCATTTGGAAGTAACAAATTTCTCTTAAGAAACACTTAAACACCTCACTTTTCTGTATTATGCCTTTTCTTTTTGACATCTTTATATATGTTTAGCCTCAGCATCTGGTAAAATGTGCACAGAAAATTGGGAATGAAATATTATATCAAATGCTTATCCTCATAATGTTTTAACTAATCATTGATGTACCCTTTTGATGCTTTCAGTTGGCAAATGTGCAGTGTCCGCATGACACTCATTTTTGGGTCTATGATGATGGTCGTTATGAGGAAGAAGGTCAAAATAACATTAGAGGGAACATCTGGGAGAAGGTATGTAAACTTTCACCGGCCTCAATTGTGTCATGGTATTCTATGTGTTGTGATTTGGATTTTATTTTTGCTAGACAGGCATCAACTCGTTTTTTCTGTGCCTTGTTCTCTTTGCCTGTGCCCCATGGCCAACCTCAAGGAGCAAGGGAGGAGGTTAGCAATTATAATACTGTTCCAAATTATCTAGAGCAAAAAAGAATTCAGAGGCTTCTTCTACTTGGGCTTCAAGGCTCTGGAACAAGCACCATCTTCAAGCAGGTTTGGACTTTTCATTTCTGGTAATAGACTATTTTTATTCCAACAATTATGCTTTATGTTGCCATCCCAATTAAGGTAAGATGCATGGAAAATGAAACTAAATTCACTTCATAAATTTATTGCCTAATGGAAATTGTCTAGAATATCTTGCATGAACATGAAGAAGGCCTGTCACATGAGGAATTTTAAAAGATGTGCAGTCAATGGAAACTTTAGATTTGTGGATTTGCACGTAGTTCACAAATGCTTTCAATTGCATGGGCTGAATATCTAGTGTGATCATATGAATCAGTGGTTCTGAATTTCCTTTTCCTTCATGCTTTCTTGGTTTAGGAATAATTGGTCTTATGGTGTATGGATAATTAAGACATGGGCGAATTCCCCATTGTGATTAAAAATTCAGTTACTAGCATCATCTACAACTATGTCTTCAACCCAATTCTTGCATAGAGAACTAGTTGTTATTGTTTTTTAGATTTGTGGATTTGCATGTAGTTCACGAATGCTTTCAATTGCATGGGCTGAATATCTAGTGTGATCATATGAATCAGCAGTTCTGAATTTCCTTTTCCTTCATGCTTTCTTGGTTTAGGAGTAATTGGTCTTATGGTGTATGGATAATTAAGACATGGGCGAATTCCCCATTGTGCTTAAAAAATTCAGTTATTAGCATCATCTATAGCTATGTCTTCAACCCAATTCTTGCATAGAGGACTAGTTATTATTTTTTCCTTGTTGTTGACGCCAATTATCTAATGTTCACTATGCATTATTGAACAGGCAAAATTTTTGTACGGGAATGGGTTTTCTGCAGAAGAACTGCAGGATCTCAAGTTGATGATACAGAGCAATATGTACAGATATCTTAGCATATTACTGGATGGTCAGGAGCGGTTTGAGGAGGAAGCAATGTCTCGCATACGAGAACTAGGTTCCGATGATCACAACTGTGAAGCAGGTAATGTTTGCCAACATCAAAAGTTTTTTCTGATTTTAAACATAGTTTTGAGCTTATAAAGTAGCACGTGTTACTTCCAAATAGACATATTTTATGGCCTATATGTCTCTTTGATGTGCAGAATGCTTTGTTCTGTTTTTTGATTAGCTAAGAGGGGAGGGAGAAGAGTCTTTCACATTTGTGTTTTACTTGTTTTTGTACATGATGATGCTTATAAGGTCTCTCACAGCTGGACAAAAACAAAAAGACTGGTTTAACATCATTGCAACTCTTTCAACGGTTAAACAATATCTAATCTTGTTTCAGGTGGAGAGGTTGACCCTGGTGAAACTGACCAGTGTGTCTATTCTATCAACCCAAGGCTAAAGCATTTTTCTGACTGGCTGCTGGACATTATAGCCACTGGAGATTTGGATGCATTTTTTCCTGCTGCAACACGTGAGTATGCTCCATTAGTTGAGGAGTTGTGGAAAGATCCTGCTATACAGCACACATACAGAAGAAAAGATGAGCTTCATTTTCTTCCAGATGTTGCAGAGTACTTTTTAAGCAGGGTATGTCATCTTATTTTTTATTGACTTTGTTGCCCCATATTTTACATTTTATGTTTGATATATATGGCTTCATTGTTGTCAAATGTTACTTAGCCATTTGATATTTCAACTTATTCAACTCAAAGAAGATTCCAAAACAAAAACAAAAAACAACTGAACTCAAATTCGCAGCAATATCTTGACTGGCTGTGCAATATGCTTTTGTTTCCTTCAGGCTGTTGAGGTGTCAAGCAATGAATATGAACCTTCTGACCGTGACATTCTTTATGCTGAAGGGGTTACCCAAGGGAATGGTTTAGCATTCATAGAGTTTTCGCTTGATGATCATAGTCCAATGCCTGAAACCTACACAGACAATTTGGAAGCTCCCTCCCAGGCTCTGATCAAGTAATTCTTTCCTGTCATTCTGTTATTGCCATATATGAAAGATTTACAGATTTCTAGTTCATGTTGTTATCTACTACTTTGTTAACGGGATACATGTCACAAATTGTCATGTTGGCCCTTATTTGAAGTTGGGGATCTTCCTTACACGTGTTATGAAGGTGGTTAGGGGGAGTGAGCAGGGGACAAAGAAAAGTATTTTCAAAAAATGTTCTCAATAAGGGTCCATAATCCATAACAAGCAATAGAATCACATACTGCAATACCAGTCTTTGCAATCTTTTCTGTATTATATTGTTCAATACATTCACAGATCAAATATTACTGCTTTTGTTGGCTCTAATGGTTACCTTGAGTGCATAGTTATTTTCTGGAAGAACAGAGGCATTGATGAGGGGAAGTGGATTGAGGATGGGTGCTGAAGCTACTACATGGATGCAGAACCTCTTTTTCTTTTTCTTTTTCTTTTCTATTATTCATTCTCTTACATGTTTCAATGCAAGGCATTTGAGATTTGTATCTTGAATTTTTAAGTTAATTTTGCATTTTGGCTCTTACAGGTATCAACTTATAAGGGTAAATGCAAAGGGGATGAATGAGGGATGCAAGTGGGTGGAAATGTTTGAAGATGTGCGTGTGGTAATATTCTGTGTGGCCCTTAGTGATTATGATCAGATGTCGATAGCACCAGAGAGTAGTGGCAGTGGAGCACTGCTTCAAAATAAGTTGATACAGACCAAGGAGCTATTTGAAACAATGCTAAGGCATCCTTGCTTTAAGGATACCCCTTTTGTGTTGATACTAAACAAGTATGATCTCTTTGAGGACAAAGTCAATCGGGTGCCTTTAAGCACTTGTGAGTGGTTCAATGATTTCAGTCCAGTGAGTACTCTCCATAACCGTCAGTCACTGGCTCAGCAGGCTTACTTTTACGTTGCAATGAAGTTCAAGGATCTATATGCTTCCCTTACCGGACAGAAACTTTTTGTTTGGCAAGCTAGGGCAAGAGACCACCGGAAGACCATTGATGAAGCATTCAAGTATATAAGGGAGGTTCTCAAGTGGGAAGAGGAGAAAGATGACAACTACTATGGAGGAGAAGATTCATTTTACAGCACGGACGTTATCTCCTCACCATTTGTGAGGCTAGAATGACCTGCTTTCGGAATTTACTTGTATTCTTCCAATACAAAGAAAGTCCTAGGAGCCACGTGCATGCCTCAGTGCTCAATCAAATAAGGATAGCTGTTGTAAATTTTTTTGTTGTCCAAAATATCAATTTAATGATATCGGTCAAGTTGTTTCAGATTGATTTTGTCTTGCACGATTCAGGTGAGATTTTGAAGGTTGTCTCTGCACTTTTCCCAAATGCAACATGATATGAACCAGAAGCAAATAGCAGATTCCTTTTATTCAAGGAATGTCTTGTATTTACAATCCAAAGCATCTTTTTTATGTTTTTAGTGGGATGGACACAGCAAATGTTACGAGCAGATGAAAACAGCGTTCAAGGCCATTATTCCTCGGAGGAGCTGATGATTAACACGGGGAACAACTTGAGTTCGAGCGCCTCATAGTTTCCCTTTGTTTTCTAAAATTGAGAAGACTGAGAGAGAGATAATAGGAATGTATATAGATTTAAACCAGCTGAAGAAAGGCTATGGAAATGGTAATATATAGTATTCCTTGCATTCTAGGCATATGCACAATTGCTCTTATTTGGAGCGCAAAAAAAAAAGAAAACTGCGTCGCATATTTCTCTTGGGATGCAAAGATGATAATCTGTAAAAACTAGACCTAGTGTTAATCCCAGTATACAAATCATACAGTTTGACCGTCCTAGGCAGGCAATCATTTAATACGAATCATCTCAGAGGTAAATTAAAAAAAGATCATAGTAATTCAAGAACCAACTAGTAACAGTTCGCCTTATAATGCTGGAACTTTCGGAATCACCAGTATTTGACAGTGCATTGCAAGGCAGACTATAATTTTATGCATAAAAAGACATCTGAAATGAAAATGCACTTTCATCCACATAATAGTGGATCATATCTGATTGTATCTAATGAAAATTCTCAAAACAAAGTTAAGGAACCACCTTAAAGAGAAGGATGATGTTTTCAATTTTAACTGTATCCTTAGGCATGGCAGTGCCATTGTAGATCCTACAAATGCCAAACCATGACAAGTATATGAGCCACTCCTTTCGGAAGAATGATTTAAGAAAAGGATCAAGCAATATCTTTAAAGAAAGCCTACAAAGTTGGCTCTACTCCCCACACGACTTACACTAGTCTCTATCCTCATTGCTCACCATTGCCTTTCCTCTTTTTTTTTTTTTTTTTTTTTTTTCAAATAATGAAATTGTTACAATGCGCAGATAGGAACTAGAGAAAAAAAATCATGATGCAACAAGATCGGGTGTTTCAGCCTCAATTGATAACCAAGCAGTGTGTACTTTGCCCACCCAACTATCCAACTGCTCACGCAAGGATTTGATCTGTGGAATTCCCAAAACTCTTGGCTGCACCCTGGAGACATGAACTGTTCCCTCAACTTGATCGATTATGCCTTCAATCAGATGAACCTGTTCTAGTGATCAACATAAAGGTTATACAAGTTATCTTTAGGATTTTTAACTTTCTAAACAATAGTTAGCGATTACAGGCAGGAGTGCAATCGAATGTATACAATGATGCCAAGCACACATGAAAAGAAATGGAGAGACTGGACTTCTACAAGTTCATAATCCTTTTTTTCATAATTTCAAGTCCTAAAAATTGTTTTGTCCTTCTATATTTGTGTCCCCTAATAATTGTTTGGAGGCTAAGTAAGAATTCTAACACTATTATTTCCCACCAAGGTGTCATGAAAAAGTTTAAGAGAAAGAAAAAGGAAAAAGGAAAATGTATAAAAACAAAAAAGAATGAAGAAATCTGGTGAATGTTTTAACTTACAGACAGACTCTTCATGAGAAGATGCTCAACATCCTCAAAAGACAGTTTTGTTCGCTCAGCAACAACTTTTAATGGAATAGTTCGATCTTCAGATGGTCGGCTGCAGGGAAACATATAGTAGTTTACTTTTTAACTACACATACAGATATCAGCTACTCACTCTGACCTCATCCATTAGAGGACAATGCAAAAAGACACACCTGAAGATAATCTCCATTAAACATAAAATATTAATCTTTTCCGAGAGCTTCTTCTCATTCTCAACCAAGGCTGGTTGAGCCCTCAATGCAGCATTGTGCACACGACATAATTCTTGATAGAGAACTAAATCCCCTGAGTTGAAGGCTTGGAGGATATAGTAAAGCCACTCAACCCTGGTCCCCAGAAGACTCTTTATCTGTAAAAGATGCTAAGTATGTCATCATCTCAAACATAAGAGAAGTAAAAACAGTAAAGCAAAGAAATTCAGAACAAACAAAACCTATAAGGAGAGTGGCTTTTCACATCAACCCTCCACAATGACAAATAAGAGTGTATGCATGTAACTGCAATACATAAAAGAATTTACAAAATGAAAAGAACCTCCTCTCAGATGGCACTTTTCAATCACTAATTAGGCACCCTTTAACCTCCACATACATCTAACTCTTAACATCTCAAACTTGGTCAATCAGCCTTATCCTTATGCAATAAAAACACACACTATATACAAGCAATTGTAGATAATTACACCAAGAAAAATTGTTTCCTATCTTAGTTTACGCGTTTTAAAACTAGAAACATCAAACCAAAGATGTTCACTCATACCAGATTATTTACTAATAGACAGTATGATTGCTTTATCAAACAAACATTTTTTTGTAGCATAAGTAAATTTACTTTTATTCTCAAGTCATGATGCATTGAATTGTTCCAATCCCTTTTAGGTTGGAATGTGTTTACAAGTGAATCCATATCAATTCTCATTATTACTCATTATGTTCCTTACCTAGTGTTCCTACATTTTCTTAATCAAAGCACTACATTGATAATCACCACAACAGTTTTGATGAGCTCTCTACTGACACCATAATTATTTATATTCTTCATCAAACCAAAGCATGATTAAAAGCCCAAAATAGATTATAACTAATATCAGATTTTAAAAGAAAAACCAGCAATATGCCTCAATGAGCCATTGATGCCATTGTATCGGGTAAATTGCACTATCATAAAGTTAACTTATATGTGCTTAACTCATTAATAGAAAAGCAAACAACAAGTACGAATATAATTTGAATTAAACATAAGCACAAACATTTGTTGTGATATGAAACTATTTTGCCTGCAAAAAAATTTAGATGTAATATATACTGACATTAAGAAACTTGATAAAGATTGTCTTACAATAGGATGAGCAAGCAGTTCTCCAAAGTTGTAGATGTTATCTCCCAAAAGAGCAGAAAGGGACAGATCAAATGCCAAATCCTGTATAAATAAAACAGATTAAAATAAAATGAAAAGAAGTCAAAGGATAAAATATATTCCGGCCAAACAAATGCTGTAAACTTTCTTTAATTTATTTATTTATCCATCTGTTTTTGATGACTGGGGTGTAATTGTAAGTCCAACCAAAGCCTTCCGGCTGGAAAACAGAATTAAGCATATCAGCCATCTCATAATCAGCTTTATCATCCAAACTGAGGTATGCCATTTTTATCCAGGTATTATTGTCAAGTGTATGCCTGGCAACTCGATTCATTTAAATTATAAAATTTTAGATCTTGGAGAAGAAAGAAGGGGATGTAGCAAGAAAGAAAAGGTTCAAACAAGTAAGACTTGAATCTAGACTTCAGAGGCACTGCTGGACAAGAATTGGTGGATAAAACAATAATTTCTAGAGTGAACTCTGAACAGCAAGAAGGTTGTAACAAAAATGCCTGAGAAATAAGTAAAATTAATGAGCTCCAGTAAATATCACAAGATAGTATAATTGTAATGGCAGAAACAGATAAACCTATAAACACATACCAACTTAAAAGATTCTGTGAGGGACTCCACTGATGTGTACGCAAGATAAAGGAGAGAACTTTTGTAGAATTCGGCAAATTCTTGGCGAAATTTATGGTACTGAGATGAAACCCAATAATAGCTAGCATATACAGAGGAATCTATGTTGGTCATACTGTCAAGGGTACTCTTTCCATCTTCAAGAAGTTTCTTGCACTCCTTTTGGTCACCCTGTTCAAGCTTGAACTTAGCAATTTGCATCTTAATATAAAGAATTGGCTCTTCTATTCGCTGCTCTCGAGCAGCCTGAAGCTTTTCAATCACCCCTTCAAGATAATTAATAGCAGCTCCTTTCTCTGAGTACTGCCGAGAAACTATAACAGCGAAATGCGCAAGCTTGAGAAGATTGATCTTGGTCTCAAAGTCAGTGATAAAATTATGATACAACTGTATCAGCGCATCTCCAGCCTGAAATTTAAGAGAACAAAGTACTGCAGGAAGTTAGAGGACCTAGCCAACATCCAGTGAATGGGGTACACTTAGTTCATTTTCTATCATATTTATTAATTTATGTATGAATCCATACAAAAATATATAAAGCCAACTCGTCTAAAATGAAAACCATTAAGTAAACCACACTCCAGACTAATTATTACACAAACATCATACACTGAAGGATCAAGAGAACGATAGGCAATTGCGATTGAACTTTCCACATGTACTGTACAAAAACTTGAGGGGGAAAAGAATGTAACATAAATAGCTTGCTCCTAAGACTTTCCATTCTACAATATTGAAAAGAACTTTTGCACTAAAATAAACATGCCAAAGAGTTAGAAGCTAATATTTCATAATTCATATGCATTAACAAGTGTAACATAAATAGCTTTCTCCTAAGACTTTCCATTCTACAATTTTGAAAAGAACTTTGCACTAAAATAAACATGCCAAAGATTTAGAAGCTAATATTTCATAATTCATATGCAATAGCAAACTTCCATCCTGCAATGCATTTCATGCAAACCAGAAGATTTACTCTAAAAATTTTGACAAGTTAACAACAGTTGCCAGTTCAGAACACTCTTCTATGACCAAAAACATTACAATCAACAAATAAGAGGCAAAACCCAACTAATACTAGTTTCTATAATCATTTTTGAGAATTGAACATCAAAGCAATCAACACTTTCTTATTTATTTCTTTTCAATTTAAAACTAAATAAAAAAGAAAAATAAAATGGTAGAGCAGAATTAAACACCGTAATTCTACAACAAAACCCTAAATTCTCAAACTCAATTCAAGACAAAGAGAAAAAAAAAAAAAGAAACGTAATCAACTCTATTCAAAAAACCTAACTCCCAAAATCTTAAAACTCTAATATGGAGATCTACAAGCTCTAAACCCAAACAACCCGTAATAGAAAGAGAAAGGGAGAGAGACCTGAAAGACAGTGAGAGCAACGAACTGCTCAAGCTTGAGAGTAAGCTGATGCCAGAGCTTCTTCTGGTACAGCTCTGCAAGAGAATTGTACCAGTCGGCCAGCTCTGGATGCTCATTTCTAAGAGACTCTATGTATTGCAAGGCCGCCATCGATCCCGCTTTCAATGCACAGAGTCGAAACAAAGAAACGAAACTGAAGACAGATTTTTTTTTTTTAACTTTGGTTATTACATATATATGAATTCTGAAAAAAAAAAAAAGCTTTGTTTTCTCTGTCTTGAGCTCAAAGAAAAGAATATCGGAACCCGAGAAAAGGAAAATTATAATTCGGGTCGGGTTGTTTATTTGGTTTAAATGTTTAACTGGGTCAACTTTTTCCGGGTTTCGTACTTGCACACGTTTCTTATATCTACCCCTTCAATAAAGTTTTTTTATTACTAGCAATTTCCTTGCTTTCCTTTTATGTTCCTTTTCAATGTAAAGAATTTCATTCATTAAAAAAAAAAAAACAAATTCATTCATAGAGTGAACCATCCAAATAAAAAAAAATGTAATTTTTTTGTTTGATCCTGGATTTTAAGTTTTTCATTTTTTTTTTGCTTTCTGTAGCTAGAAGATGTCCAACCATGTCCAAACTATATGTTTTTTATATTTGGGCCTTTGTTCCTGACAAAAACTCAAGACGAGAACTTTGGGCTGAACATCAAACTTGACTTATGAACCACACTAATGGTTTCAAACTCCTAATACAATTATTCAGCCGAATGAAAATCATATGTAGAATTTGCAATTGTAAAGCTACGAGTAAAGAACGCCAGAAACACGTGGTGGCCTTCATTGAAAATGATCCAGCAATCCATATAGGGTTGTGAAAGTGGAAAGTTGAAATTATTTGCCTTGTGACTTCCAATCAAAGCAAAGTTGGTAGTTATAGTTATGCCTTTACTTTTGAGTTTTCTTTATTAAACCCTCCATCCACCCACTCCCCCGACAGAAATCAAAATGTCAGAGTCAAGGCCTTGTTTACATCTCTTACTTCTTTTTATCTTAATATTTGCCTCCTTCACAACCATCTATTGAGCCGCTGCCACTGGAGTTGGTGCAGTTGTTGGAGACAATAATGCTGGAAATTCACATCAGAGGAAACAGCGGGTGAATCATGGAAGCTTTCGTGGCCCTCGGAAACACCTTCTCAACCCAGCTGTTGAGCAGCCACTTCAGCTTCCTAAGTTGGCTGTATAGTTTCATCTGTAAACTGTTATAATAAGTAATAGTTTATATGCTTATGTTTTCATTTTGTCTCTCTTTATATTACTATATGTGAATCTATGATAGATGTAGATATCCTATTTCATTTTAAATTATCTTCGAGTCTTGAGTTAATTAGAATTGGACTTTAAATTTAACTCATTTGATTTTAAATTTGAGTTTTGGATTTGCTTTAGACTTTAAACTTTAAAATAAGCCCATTTACTCTTTTGTAATTGTCTGCTTTATTTTATTCCGGGAGATAGATCAATTATGTTTGAATTTGAGTTGAAAATGGAAGATAAACTTGTTGAGTTTAAAATTAAAATTTAAAAAGATAAAGGATGAAAATCTCATTCAATCGGATAACATTTTGATCTCGTATCCTATGGGGGCTGAGTCCTTATTTAAACAAGGACAATTATGCAGAAAGGGTGGCAAAAAATAGAAGCATTCACGATTAGCCTTTTCCTCCGTCCAAGCCACCACCTCACCTACCATTCCCTACCACCGTCATCATCCATACCCTAATCTTACCAAACCATTGGCAGCTTTCAATCGCCACTTTCAACACATGTCACCTCTGCCAAAACACACATTGCCATATCCACACTGTCGTCTCCACCACTTCTACCACCAATTTACCGTTACCAGATAATTGAACCCGTACCTTATCACAACCAAAACCCACAAACAGAACTGAAAAGCAAACCAACCTCAGAATCCTTTTGCCATGCATGGCCATCTCTTCCAGCTACAACCGTTGACAACTTTCCTACCTACAACAAAAAACCACCACCAAATTTACTATAACCACTGGACCAAATCGCACATTTCAGCCAAACTTCCACTCATTGCCAAAAACACTGAAACAAATACAAAAAGATTCAAGAAGTCACCAGCCACCACCTCAATTAACCAGCTCCCACTAGTCATAAAAGAAAAAACTCATTTTTTTCTTTCTTTTTGCTCTAATTCGCATGTGAACAAGAAATCTGAAACCAAAATCAAAATCTCACCAGCTTGGTCAAGGTTTTAATCCAAAATCGTATCAATAGGATTGCTGAAATTCTGGGACCTAAAATCACGCTGGACAAAACTCAATCTCAAGATTCAAGCTTAAGATTGATTCTATCCATTTCCTAAAATTGGTTCTAAAGTTGCCTATAAATTGAACTAGCACTACAAGGGATGAACACACCGAGATTTTTAGAGAAAAAGGGTCTAAAAAAATTTTGGCAATAAAAATTTCTAGAATTTTGGTATTAGGATTTGGGGCTCGATTTGCAATTTTAAACTTGAATTTAGGCTTCTGGAGTTAGGTTTAAGGTTTTAGAAGGTTTCGGGAGAGATTTGGAACTTTCTAGGAAGGTTTGAGGATTTTTTGGGCTTTTTTGGTCTTTCTGAGTGTTTTTGGGTTTTTTCTAAGTTTGAGAATAATATTTGAATTTTTCGATAAAATTTTTTGGCAAGGTTGAATTTTTCGACAAGATTCTGATGGCTTTTCCAGAAACTGACGGATTTTTCAATTTTTGGTTGAACTTTTCGTTTACTTTTTCAGAAACCGATAGGTTACTCAGTTTTTGATTAAAGTTTTTGGTGGTGTTCTTGGTTGGGTTTTAGAGAGAAAGCAAAGAGAATTCGGCTAGAGAGAAAAAAAGGGAGGAGGCTTTTGAGCAAAAAGGTGCTGAACCTGACTTATATATTGCCTTTGCATGATGTCGTTTTGGGCGACTTAGGATCTGCGTGAACTTCAGTTAGGATCCGCACGCCGACTCGCTTTAACCTAACCCAAATCACAAGATTTTCTTTTTCTTTTTTCATTTTATTTTTAAATTTCATTTCATTTTATTTTTTTCTTATTATTTTTAGTTTTATAATTTTATTGGTTTTCATATTTTTATTCCATATTAAATAATAATAAATAATAAAAAAATCTTTTCTTTTTGGAAGAACAGAAGAAGTCGGATAAAAAAAAGGTTTTTTAAAGTTTTCAAAAAAATATTTATAAAAATAAAAAAATCCTTTCAATAAAAATAAAAATAATATCTTTTTCAAATAAAATCTTTACAAAAAAAATTCATAAATTGTATTAAACTATTAGAGAATTTTTATAGATTTAATTTTTAAAATGAAATCCACCAAATTATTGAAAAATTTTATAAATCAGTTTTCAAAAAAATTAAAAAAATTAAAAAATTAAAAATAGTTTTTATCCTCTAAACTGTTGGAAGATTGCTTTATAAATTAAGTCCTACCAAACTATTAGGAGATTTAATGAAATTCTTAAAAAAATTTTACAAATCTTTTGATAATAAAATCTCACCAAACTATTGGAAAATCTGCTTCAAAGTAAGTTCTACCAAACTATTGAGACATTTTACTGATTTTTTTGAATAAAATATTATAATAAATCCAATGACGGAGCCTCTTCAGAGCGGGTCATTAGTCTCTATGAATACTCTTGAGATAAGAAAATTATTTTAAATTGCTACCAAACTATTGGGATAATTCTAAGATTAATTTTCAATACTAAATATTTTGGTAAAACATAAACATTTTTTAGGCTTGCATAATTTGAAATCAAACTAGTATCATCCTATGAATAGGTGTTGTATGGGTGCTATAACCTTCTCTATACATAACTATACTTTCGAACCTAAAATCTAGTTTTGTGGATCAGAATCTACTTCAGGTGGCCAATCACACCTAAACAAAAAATATTGGTGGCGACTCTTCTAATTTATGTCTAGTGGTAGGTTCAGGGATCTATACGTTATGACAATTTGGTGACTCCACTGGAGAAATTGAGAGTCAAGCCAGTAAATAATTTTTTATTATCCAAGCCTTGCTTAATAAATATAAAATTATTTTATTTCTTTTCATTGCTTATATTATTTTCCTTTTCATTGTGTATACTTAGTTATTTATTTGTTGTTCTTTTTATTCATTGCATATATTTGCTTGATTATCCATTTATTGTATATATACTTATCATTCATTTGCATATCTCTAATATAGCTCTCCACCCAGGCTTTATGAAGGAATGAAGTACTTATGCTTTCGTTAGATTTTATATCTCCGCATGGGCCTGTGAAACACTCTCACTCAGATTGAACCTTTCTCACTTGTAGCCTATGATGGATGAGGATTGGGATGCCTTACTAGTTTGTGATGGACAATGATGTAAGAAGTAATTTGGGAACCTTTTTAGAGTTGACCCAAACCCCATATAGTCAACCTTAAGAGCCTATCCATGATATAGTCTTATCCTTCCACCCTTTTGTAGACAATCCAAAATTCAAGGTCATGTTGTTATCTTATTTACTATATGGTGTTTATTCTATGTTTTATTGAAGTGACTAACTAATTTTTTTGTCTTTTTTTATTTTTTTTTCTTTTTGTGCATATTCATAAACATACTTACAGATTGCATAGTATTCTTGCCTAAAGATTGTTTCAACAAAAGCTCTCATAGACTCTACTGAACATCAGGTTTGCGCTTCATCTACGTTGTTCAAATGTGACTTTTACATAAATGTAAAAGTGGTATCAGAGAAAAAGTAGCAAGAAGAAGAAGATTGTTTGTCACCTGATCATATTTCTACACTACTAAAGAAAGTTCACTTACTCCTTAAACAGAATGATTTGAAAAGCCTATCAAATATATGGAATAACATGACTCTTTTAAGGCAAAAAACTTTCTATAAGAAGTTTAAGCATATTGCATATCTTTTGTCAGTAGATGTTGATAACTCATTCATTAAGGCGATGATATAGTTATGGGATCCTTCTTATCATTGTTTCATCTTTAATTAGGTTGATTTGGTACCAACTATAAAGGAGTACTCAACTTTAGTGGGCATGCATCTACTATATCCATACAAAATATATGTGAAAAAGCATAAATCAGGAAATTATAAAAAATCGGGTCAGATTCTAGGGTTGAAAAAAGAGATCATAGATTCCTACATTCAAGAAAAATGAGTGCATAAAGGTATCTTATAAGAG